TGTTGTCTAGTTGGTTCATTAGAGACTAGATAGATCATTTTTTAAATTTCTCTACAGTTTTCCTAATAATTGCGTAAACACTCGATTTCATCAAAATATAATTTTCTAACGCTTATAAAAATTTTTTGCGTTGCTCCAGTAAAGTAAACTTTTTTGGTTCACTTCTCTAGTACATTTTATTACATTTTTAAATCTAATACACATATTGAAATGTTTATCAACTTTTAACTACCAAAATAGCCAGGTTTTGTGATTTTGATCAACATTTCGGACCTTTTCCATTAATTCACTACAATTACTTTTTTTTGGTAATTTTTCGAGCCGTATCTAGATACATTATTACGTGTTATAAAACGATAACTTTGTGAATTATCGTTTAATTATAGTACAATACCTTGTATTTATGGTCTAGATATATGATTTACTCGTGCAGCGAGATTTTAGGTTCACATACAAAGCATAATCCCATTTGCAACAATATCAAGGTTTGTACTAAGTTAGGCTTAAACTATAATTCCCCTTGGAGCGTAGCTCCATTCCCCCGAAAATTGCCACGCAGTGGCATTCAAGTTGGTGAGTAGAGCCGCAGGCGTAACAAGCGAAGTCCTAAAATTTTTAAAATTTAAGTTCCGATTTTTTGAAAAAAAAAATAACTAATAATAATTGTTGTGGCAATACCAAAAACACAAATAAGGGACATTATGTTTCAAGCCCTCCAAAATTATTTATAGTTTATAATTGTATGTATTTATGAATTGTTCTCTAATTAAAATTAATTTAAATTATAACACTCTAATCAGGGGCAGATTCACAGTTAGAGAACTGTGGGTCAGGCTATTTCAAGAGGCCATTTATTAGAGCTGAAACTGGATTATAAATGTATGGTATACCTTGTAACATAAACACAATATATGTGTTCTTAGGTTTATTCATAAATTATTATAATTATGATTAATGAAAACATTAACTTATATTTTATTTTATGGATAATTTCTTCTTACATAGGTTCCAGCATAGAGATTTTTTGATGTACTATACAATAAAACCAGTGGCGTCATTGGAGGGGGGGGCAACTGAGACATTTCCCCAGTCTAGTATTAACTTTAACCTGTAGTTGACACAATTAAAAATGTTGTCAACAAATATTAACTGTGGGTCACACATGGATGACCTCATGAACCTCCCTACCCTAGATCCGCCACAAACTCTAATACTAAGTTATTCAATTAAAATAACACCATTATATAGTATAATATGTATAGTATACATGGGCGACCGCAGGAAATTTATCAGTGGGGGCATAATTAAATCGAACACCAAAAAGTATAGGTATTAAAAAAAATATATTCTTAGCAAACAATAGAATATGTCAGAACTGTATACACTTTAGTCGTTATCAAATAAAAACCGAAGTCTTCGCAGTTGTTTGATTGCAAACCTTGTTATTAACCGTTCGATTAATTTTTCTCAGGGGGTAAATGCCCCATCTTGCCCGCCCATTATAATAAACCATTATTATAGGCATGTGCCGAATTTTAGTACAGATATGGTACAATTTTTTTTATGGGTACTCAATTTAGGTAATAGTTGTGGCTATATTACAGTTAAAGTAAATAATTTTATATTTTATTGAGAATGTTATATCATATTACAATAATAAACTCAAACAATTTTAACACAGACACTGTTTAAATGGCAAATAAAAATATCAATCACACATAAACAAATAGATGAGGTTAATCAGCAATTCTCTGAAACTATTAAGGTACTTTGAATTCTTCAATTATTTCTCCATAATAATGTTTCACACATGCTGCTTGTTTTATACTCATAAGAAGTAAGCTGTCAAGACAATTTTTTATTCATACCAGCCCATAGATTAGACTTTACAATATTTAGCTTCAAAAAAGTTCTCGTGCATGAACAACTTGCGACAGATATTATACTAAATAATTATATTATTTTATTGTAATTTAGCTGTTTATATTATTTGTAAGCCTTTATTATGTTCAACATATAAATAATTTATCAATTCCTAAATTTTAGAATCTTTATTAAATTTAGCACAAACTTTTAATGTATCATCAAATACAATTTTGAAGTAATTTTCATTAGTTCTTAATTTAGAAATAGTATTTAACAATTTTGTATTAAATCAATAGCAGTTAGTAATAAAAGTTTTTTTCGAACTCAAACCTTATTTGTTGTGATGTCCTAACATATGAGCGCAAATCGACTTATAAAAATTAAATTATGACATGACAAAATAAATAATAAAGAAAAGGATAAAACTTTGGTTCTACCAATAAAATAATAGTATATTTTGTGAGGCATATCTTATTATTCACAAATATAAAACAACCACAAATTTCATATAATTAGAAAAAAAAATATAAATTTTTTGAAAAAGTTAGGAAACCGGGATTCAAGGAATTAAATATTAATAGATTACAAGTAAGGCAAAAGCCAGATAGGCCATACCTGTGTGTATACCAGTGACCTTTATATATATATACATATACATATATATATATATATATATATATATATGTAGAATGTATAGTGAATGTTTTTTGCGAGTGATAATAACTTTTTGCAAATAATTAATAAAATGTAATTACTCTAAGATAGCTTTAAAACTAATAAGTTTTCTGTAGTTTGACAAAAAAAAAAAAAAAAACAATGGGGGATATAATTCCTAACCTCTCCTCCACTCAGATCATGCCAATGCTTTTGAGTATGCTACATTTGCTTTTCTGATACTTGATATTGCATTTACAAAAGGTAATAAATTAGCTAAGACAGGTACTAAATAAAATAATATTCTATATTATTTTTAAATACAAAAATTTAATTATAGATGATCACATCATAAAAATCATGTTTAACAAAACAAATTGAAATACTGATGAATTAGCTATCTAAAGACTAAAATTAATTGATAAAAATAATAATAATAATAATAATAATAATATAATGATGCATCAATGGCTCCTGATGCGATTTGATTTATTTTTTGTGTACAAAATATAAACTAATACAAATAATAATAAACAACATATAATGACAATATTAAATTATTTATAAACAAAAAAAAAAAGGTATATAAAAATAATAATATTACATAATACAACTTGACTTGATTTGTATAATAGTATCTGATTGCACGTAATGTTAATGGTTGGTTAACTAAAGTTATATTATCACATTTTGAATGTGGGTACAATATATAATATTGTAGAAATAAAAACGAAAATAGTAATAAAAAAAAGAAAGAAAGAAATAACATATTGCGGTGGTGGTCAATCTTTCCTGGTGTAATTATTACAATATTTTATCAAACTATGTCTTTGTTCATTTTAATAACAGCAATGTAAATCAAATTGCACACAATATTTTATCAGCTAATACATACACTAATCCATAAACAGTGAAATTTTTCCAAGATTAAATCCATAAAGAACATAAAATATTTGTTTTACTAATGTTTATGTTAAATAAAGGTAAGTAAAAACTGTTTTAAAATTTGGTAGAACATTCCAAATTAGTCTTTACATACAAGTTTGATTTTAAATTTTCACCCAAGAAAATTTTCACTGAATACTAATGTTTTTATCACTTTTAAACTTAGAATCACTGTTACTATACTAAATATAAGCGAATATATATAGATAGATACATGTTTATAAGTTTATAATAACCAAGAGATGCAAAGAGATAATAAAAAATAAAAAATAAAACATTGAATGTATAAAAAAAAACAAATACATAATATGACTTGGAAGTTAAACTAATTTGTATATACCTATGATATAATAAATCTATAAAAATCTTCAAACAAAATTATAATATAATGTAGATATTATACAAAATGATGTATAATAAAATTACAGAACATTTCTTAGAGTAATTATCCCTTTCATTAAAGTACTTATAAAATAAAATTATAAATTTATTTTTAACAAAAAACTCTCTTTGCTTGTAAAAATTTGATTACAGTTTTATTTTTTATTTTTTTTTTAATTTAAGGTAAATATACAAATTTAAATAGTGCATGTGAAATAAACAAGTGATTTTGAGTTGAAATTGTTGTAAATGTTTAAATTCCCATTTAAAAATTGATCGTTTTATCGATATGGTTATTCGATGATACATATTTCATTAATACAAAAATAAATTATTACAAGTATGTTACACAAGAAATTTGATAAAGTAAGGTTTTATTATAAATGAAAAATTGATCGATATTGCATATAATTATTAAAATTTAATAGAGATTTTAACTCTTGTAAATTAAGAAGAAACTATAAATTTAATTCAGCTATAAGTTTTATAAAACAATAATTATCTATAAAAAAAATAGTTGTTTCTTTATTCTTATGACATTATAGAAACATTATAAAATAATTAGATCAGTCAATTTTCAATTTACAACAAAGCTTATTAAGCTTATATGCAAGTATTTTATGATATACACACTCTCACATACACTTCAAGAGAAAACTTTTTGTGAGTTATAAGTACAGAAACAACTAGTAGAAATTGTACATATATATTATAAGCAAATTTCTCATAGTTATATTTGTTTGTTTCCCTACACAATTACATACGTTTAAGATAGTTCAAAATTTTCTATAGATTATGTTGAGCATAAACAATTATAGCCAAAGAAGAATTAACTATCCAACGAAAAACGGGTATAAAGATGAATATTTTTCATTCATAATAAAGTTACTGTTTGAAGATACACAGGGTATATTAATCATTATAAATAAGGATTTTTTTTTTTTTTTTTTTTTTAAAGAGAGGGATTACATTATAACATACATTTTTTAAATACAAAATATAATTATTAATTAATATAATTATATAACTTATATCATAAATAAATATCACAAGTGTTTTCACCAAATGGTTTTTTGTTAGAAAAAATGAGTTGTCCTTTAAAGAATAGTAAATAATATGGCCTTTGCAAACAAAGATAAATAGTTTTTAAGTAAATAGTCTAGTTATATTTTGAACGATAATTATTTATAACTGTCATGTAGTTAAGTAGTTATTTTTATTTTGTTTGGTGGTATTTCAGATTTCAATTAAGTAGAATTATTTGTTCAGAAAAAGTAAATACTTTGATCCCCAAGTAAATAAACAGATAACACTTGATTAAAATAAAGAATAACTAGATTACGTTATCTTGAGCTAGCTTGCCAGTGAAAATTACTTTTCATTGTCCATTGTTGGCTACGTGATCCATCACATTCATTTAATATGGCAGTATACTGATCAGCAGACATTGAATGTTCCAGACATTGATCAGTAGTTTTATGTTTTATTGTCATTTCCTGTGAAAAGTGAATTTTATTCAATCAATTAAAGCATTTACATATTTAAATACATGGAACAAGAATATTATTTATAATAGTAGAAAAATATAATAAATTAAATTACTTTTAAATCATAAACCCAAGCTTGATTTCCTTCAAGACCATGGCATCTGATTAGGCTTACTGGCCCAACTATATTGGAAGCGTCTAAACAATTATCATCAGACATAATTTGTGATCGCTTAGTATATGCAAAAACCTATAATAAACAAAATTAATACATGTATAAATTACACTGCAATCATAAAACATATTAATGTTTTACTTGATTTCCGCCAAGACCATGACAATAACTCATGCCTGCTTTTTCACCACTTTTACGTGACATTGTATCAAGACATTGTTGGGACTCAACATTTTTAATCTAATAAAATTAATAACATTAGTTAACAAGGAACTAATTTTTAAACATATGATTTAACTGACTTCTCCTAGATAATAATAATCAAGTGGCATTTGAGACTCTGGATAAATGTTTTCCAAGTACCAACGAAAAGATTTACATTTTAATTTTTCTCTCAATGCTAAACGATCAGAGACATCTCCAACTTCTACATTAGACGCACCTAATAATTAAAAATATATAACATTCATTTGAACTGGTTGATTATTTTATTTTAAAGTTAAGCATATTATACAAATGCAATTAATAATAACTAGAGCTGTGATTTTGATGCAAATGCATATTTATTTTCTAATGCCTCAACATGTAAATCTATATGCAGAAAATGTGTTTCAAGCAATACTGATTAATTTAATGTAGTTTTTATTTTGCATTTTTTAGAATTCATCTATTCATTCTTAAATATTAGTGTATTTGATCACGCGTTTCGGCATTTGTTTGCTTAAAACTTGTATGTTTAGTATGTAATCTACTAAATTTATATACTAATAAATATGAGCATATCGGCCCAAGTACATACTTTATTAAAAATATAACACAATTAAAATAGTCAAAAGAAATTTTTCCATTTGCAAGAGTCAAATGACGATCAAATTTAAATAAAGTTAAATAAATATAATTAAATGTGTTTGGTATGATTGTTATATTATTTTTAAACTATAATAAATAAATGTTCAATGCATTTTTATAATTTTTAAAGCATTTTTGCCTTTTTTTTAGAGTATTTTTTTTTTGTTGCTATTTTTAGAGCATTAAAATCCCAGCCCTAACAATAACTATTTCATTATTATTAAACATTTAACACTAATTAAAAAGAAAAAATGTGATTAGTAGATAAAATACATGCTTACATAACTGAAATACTTAATGGTAATAATTTATGAAGTGAAACATGCAATTTGAGCTATTTTTACACAATATTATAAACAGTTTTTGAATATATAAGGCAAAAACATAATAGTGCTTGTAAACATGCATTATAGTTTAACATATAAACATTATTTTTCATACAGCTATTACTAAATAAACAATTAATAAGAATAATGACTAAACAATTATTAAATGACATAACTTTATCGTATACTTTTAATTAAGAAAAATAAAAAGATAAACATTCAAAACTACGTAGTGTGCTAATGGTGTGGAGAAAAGTATCACGTGACCACAAATCGTGTTTGTGTAGGTTTGTGTGCTTGGAATTTCTTCAATCGTGTAAGAGAAGGGGTACCTGGATTTATGGCGTAGTAAAAATTTTTCCACTCATCCATCCAGACTTCGGCGAGGCGCGCATTGTTGTGGTTGACAATATGTGATGTGCCACCAGGGAATGTATAAGGTGTGGATTTGCGAAAAACATGACCAACGTGCGAGCACGGCGATATTTCCAAAGTGCCACCACACATCCAAATCTATGAGCGACCATTTCAAGAGATAATTGAAAGATAACTCATTTTGTATAGAAATATAAATGTGAACACACACAAACAATACATTTATCTTAAACCTCTTTATTAATTGTATAACACACAACAATCAATTATATCAAAAAGTTAGCACTGTATGAATTCATATAGAATAGAGGGTTGTGTAAACTATTTAACTTTGATACCTTAATATTTTAATATACATAATATTTGAACCAGCAAGCAACATTAATTAGGTTAGATAGTTGTTTCTTGTTAGTTTAATATAGAAAAGCGGAACCAATTTTCACAGGACATGTATGTAACCTATACCTGGATTCATTGCATAATAGAAATCCCGCCACTCGTCCATCCAAACCTCAGCTACACGTGCTGCATTGTGCAACACAATTTTTGATACGCCTCCCGGAAATGAGTATGGAGACTTGTCACGAAAAACGTGACCTACGTGCGAACATGGTATTATTTCCAATGTGCCTCCACATTGCCAAACCTAAAAATATCATAACAACTACTTTTTCCCCCACAACTATATCCTTAAGATTATATATAATTTTGAAATAAAATTACATTTAAACCTCATTTCTTTAATTATCTGCATGGAAATAATACATGTATTAAATATTAATTAGCTAGGTTGAAATTAAATCAAAATGCATAATTTATTTGTGTTATGATGTATGAAACATAATACTTACTCGGAATGACATTTCTAGATTCTCACCACCCCAAATATCCATGCCTTCATCATATGAACCTAATTCATAAAAATAATCTTTATCTATAGAAAATAATCCACCAGCCATTGTAGGAGTTCTTAATGGTGCAGTACGATCATTGTTTCGTCGAGACATTTCTCTTTGTGGGACTCGGTACCTTAAACAACAAAATTATAATTGAATAAAGGAAACAAATATACATATCAACAATACATACCATCTAAAATTCAATTTCCAATTAAAACCACCCCAAGTCATATCTGATGCGGTGACATATTCAAATGTATCATCAGATATAACATCAATTACTGGACAAACTACAGTTTTCCTAGAGATTGAAAAAAAGTTATTATTGCAATAAAATGTATAATATTATATTAACTTCTAAATATACCTATTTAATACGATCCTTGCTAAAAGAGGTTCAAGCCAACCTTCAGCACATTCACAATGTGCATCCAAAAAAGTGATCACTTGACCGGTAACATGTTTTGCACCTAATAACCGAGCTCTTATCAATCCAGAACGTTTTTCTGTTCTTAGTACTTTAGTTTCTACAGGAAGAGTAGCTACATAATCTTCTAACTTTTTACCTAGAAATTCTGAAACGGAGTGAAAAATTACAATTTATTGAACAGAATGTTATACAAAAATAGATAATACCTCTGTCACTAGCATCATCAACTAACAAAATTTCTTTTAAAAGTGATCGAGGTGATCGATTAATCACACTCCAAACCGTTCTCAAAAGAGTTGACCAGGCTTCATTGTGGAATACAATCACTATAGAAGTAGTTGGCATCAGTGTAGGATAATGTTTTGTTTTGCAATCCGCTTGCCGTATGTCTTGTAAAGAGCGATTCAATGAAATCATATCACTTGCCAATATATTGAACTGATTTTCCTTGAATTTTTTTTTCATAATTGCATCTTGTTCTGGTCTCATTGTAACACCACGGCCTCCTTCGCCAGGCTTACCTCGCTTTTCACGTACAGGAGGCATTGGTTTCCAATGTTTCAACAAGTGACTGGGATACGTTGAATTATTGTTTTCGTCATTGTGATTATATTTAAAACGTTGGAGCATGTTATCCTGCACTGGGCCTCCCCAACCCATCCTGGATGCGGAGGCCGTAGCGTCAAAAGGTTCGTCTATGTCGGTGCTCTTTGCTTTACAGTTGGGCCCAATGCAGTCGGTGTAATACATCAACACCACAATGTCGATGAATATCCAAAGCAACGACGTGGCTATGATGATCTTGCATGTATGGAGGCGGAATTTGCTGCGGAACATTGTTGATTGGAAACTAAGAATATTTGCGAAATGCTCACTTACGCTCGTTGAACAATATCATAACATTGTTTTCTGGCCAGTGTCTGGTGACAGTTGAACACAACGATCGAGTACCGTCAATGTCATGTATATACGCACGTCAAACAAAAGTTAAATGTTCAATCTACCCAGACAGTGTTCGACATAATTTAGAGAGACATAAAAACGTTCGTTGGTGCACCACAGTAGCGATTTCACTAACTAGTAACGTTAACGTCGACGCAGCCAAGACCAACACATCACCAAAACCACTATCACTAAAGTTTGAAATATGTGTAAACAACATAAGTTTTAGGTTAGGTTCATAAACGATATTTTTTCAATACACAATAATAATCATGTTATATAAATTCGTCAAGTAACTTGTAATCATTCATCATGTAAGAGCGACTACAGAATGCAAATATGTATATAATTCAGTTGATTGGGATATTTTTATATATTGAATCATTTTTACATCTAGCAGTAATTAGGTATATTACGTAACTGAATTCGAGGCTAATGATGAAGATTCCACAATTTTTAGGTTAACAATTTGATAACAATAATTTTGATAATGACAAGTTATTGCGGCATAACTTGATTAATTTACAGCGATTATTAAAATATAATCGTCATCTGTTCAAATGTACTTTTTACAGTGTTTCTATTATATTTAAACGTAATGGATGTTTACGATAGTATAATAAGAGGTACACAACCCAATCGGCTAATAATCATTGAAGGTCAGTTTCATAAACTTACATTTGAAATTACGTTTTATTATTGTAATATTTTCATAATTAAATTGCATACTTAAGGTACTTAGATATATGTTATATTCGATTGATAACTACTTGGATAACAAAATATATTAATTCTATACTTATAAATTGAGTGAAATGTTATATGGTTGTGTATTTTAAGTATTAACTAATTTGCAGAATAATTTATAATAGATTTTCAAGTTTAGACAATAACAATAGTATTTATTTTAATTTTTTTTAGTATCTCTATTATAAATTGTTAAAGAGCTGGATACCAAAATATTTAAAGTGGGTTACATTTTACTTATATTTTTAATTTAAAAAAATGATTTACTATGAAATTATTTTTTTATAAATAATTACATAATAAAATTAATTTATATATTAGATTATGAATATAATATTCATGAATGAATTAATAGATTTTATGTTATTTTTTTACTTGTTTCAGATTCATTTCTAGCTAAAGGACAGTTTATATTACACCTTATATCTGAAAATCGTAAATCTCATGATATCCATGTACTTTGTTTTGAACATTTAGTTTCTCAGTATCAAAAATTATTTCCTTCATTATCTAACATACATTATTATGATTGTATGACTAATATTTTATCTTCTACTTTAAGTATGTATGAAACTGTTACAAATATAATTGCACAATCAACCAAAAATGTAGTCATTTTAATTGACTCATTATCTATGTATTTACTTGGAACAGATTTCAGGAATGTATATAAAGAAGTATTGGAAATTACATCTTTAGAGAAAGGCAAATTAATAAATTATTACATTAATTTACAATGTTTAACTCAAACCCTCTATAATTTTCCCTATGGTCAGATTTAATTCTTTGTGATACTTTGATTTTAGTGCCTAATGTTGTACAACTTGTGGCTGTGATACATGAGGATGTGACAGAAAAGCATTATACTGAGCATTTAAAAAACATATGTAAAACTTACATACATGTTCAAAATACCAATAATCCATTAGTTTTAAATTTAAGATTAGAACATAAAAGATCAAATGGTAAATGTGTAGTTCAGGTAACTAATTTCATATTTATTTTGCATTATATATTTTATTTATATATTATACTTTTTATTTAGAAACTAAAAGGAGAATTAAAATCTGATTGTACATTCAAATTAATAAATGACTTGTTGCCTCAAACAATAGAAGAAGAAAAAGGTATACCAAAAAATTTAGCTAGTTTTAAATTGGATTTGCAAGAAAATGAAAAGAAAGCAAAGGAAGAATTAGTTTTACCATACACATTGTTAGTGAATTATTTGTAAGATAAAACGGTAGTTAAAACTATGTTTGATTGTTTTTTTTTTTTTTTTATTAGAGTACAAAATGCATCTAATATTGGAGGAATAATTCATTATATTCCTGATGAAGCAGATGATTGGGACGAAGAAGATCCAGATGATGATTTAGAAATTTGACATTGCATTATTTATACAATTTTAATGTAAATACTACATTATTTGTCAAGCATCATTTCATGTGATTTCGATCAACATATGCACCAAAAATTGTTTTTTTAAATGTGGAACCTTAAGTGTTAATAATTAAATTTTTAAGTGTTTCTTAAACATTTTTAGATAATCCGTTATATTTCTATTAGTATACTAGTAAATCAAAATCAGTATCAACCTGAAATCTTCACTTAAACATTTAGGACTAACTTTTCTAAAAAAAATAAACATTTTGAATTTTAAAGAGTTTTTATAAGATAATGTCATAAATGCTATGCGAAGGCTTAACATACACAGGGTGGGGCAGTGGGTTCTGATGATTTATAGAGTACTGCGGTTGGATACTTAAGGTATGCATTGTATGTATTGGTCGGATCGTATGAAATGGATCAAATTGTGGTAGTGCGTCCACTGTACCGGTAGCAATCATATTGCCCATGCGACGGTCGGTTTTTTTAGTAACATTCGCATTATCGTAGCGAAATCCGTATGACATCCGCACCAGTCGGAAGATTTGCCCCTTCGATCAATTTCGTCGGCATTACCGACGGACCGATACGTGCGATCCGTCCCCTGCCGGTCAGTGGACGCATATGTATAACTTACTATACTAATAATTCTAAAATCCGTTTCATACGATGCGTACGTATGGACGCGTACCTTAAAGTGGATAAGATAAACTAGTTTGTCGCCAGATTAAAGTTTATGATGTTTAGTTATATTTTATCAGTAATCATGGACACATGGCCTGTGAATCAGCGCGTTTTTGCTGTTACGACGTTTATTGAGTGTAAATCAATTATAACTGTACAACGAAATTTTCGACGACAATTCAATATTCCTGTTGGAGGCAATGTTCCTTCACGGAATTCAATCTTAGACTGGTATTATAAATTTCAAAATACTGGTTCTGTTTTAACAACTTATAAAGGCAGCCAAAAAAGTGTAAGAACACCAGAAAACATTGAACGAGTACGTCAAGCAATCGATCAAAGTCCACAACGCTCGACAAGACGCCATTCTCAGTCGTTGAACTTGTCCACCAGAACTGTTCGAAGAATTTTACATAATGATTTACAACTTTTTCCATATAAAGTACAGATAGTGCAACAACTCCTTCCGAATGATTTTGGTACGAGAATTAAATTTTGTAACAGGTTTCAGCAATTGTTACATGAAAATCATGAATTTATGTCTAATTTGTTAATGTCAGATGAAGCACATTTTCATTTATGTGGTGTGGTAAACAAGCAAAACTATCGTTTTTGGGCTTCAGAAAAACCTAGTTTGTTACATAAAACTCCTTTGCGTTCTGCAAAAGTAACTGTATGGTGTGGCGTTACATCATTTGGCATTTTGGGTCCGTACTTTTTCGAGGAAAACAATGTGTGACCGTAACATCTGAACGTTATGTGGAAATGTTGAACAACTTCTTGCCAACTGTATTACAACGATTAGGAGTACATCATAAAGATCTATGGTACCAACAAGATGGTGCTACTAGCCATACAGCGCGTATTTCATTGGCTGTTCTTAGACAAATGTTTCCGAATCGTGTGATTTCGCGGAATGGTAATATTGCCTGGCCATCACGTTCTCCTGATTCGACTCCACCTGATTTCTTTTTGTGGGGTTATTTGAACTCTAAAGTATTCACTAATAAGCCACATACATTACTAGAGTTAAAAGAAAACATTAGACGGGAAATTACAGCCATCGATGTGCATATCCTACAGAGAGTTATGGACAGTACGAAAAAACGGATAACCGACTGTATATAAAATGGAGGCGGCCACTTAAGTAATGTAATTTTTAAAAATTTAGATTTTTGTTTATAACAATTAAAAATAATCTTTATGTTGAATAAAATACAATTTGTTTCATTACTTTGTTTTTAATACTTGACCAATAAATTACAATTAAAATTCATCAGAACCCACTGCCCCACCCATTATAACAGATATATTTTGGTTATTGAGTCTCAGACCGTCAAACAAGTAAATATTGTTACCTTTGGTTCAAACTTATTTAATTCTCCTTTTGGTGATCATAATAATAAGTACTGTATTATAAAGTAAGTATAGAAATGTCTTCCTACTTTACTAAATGGTTTTTTTGCCACAAACAATTCAGTACACACACTAAACATTTAATACTCTTAAAATATTAAAAAAAAAAAATGAAAAATAAGTATTTTGTTTAAAACATAAACGGATTAAAATAACTTCAATTTTACAATAAAACAAATAAAAATTAAATTCTTAATCAAAACTTGTCGTTTACCACGACACTTCGCGACTATTCAATTACCGTTGCTGTAGCCTCATATTGGTTTTGAAATGTAGATGATTGGGCATTTGTTTATTTCTGCCTCGTATGGAATAATAGTTTACAGTTATATTTTGTAAACATACATATATACGGCATTACAACAATAATTATATCCTAAAAAAGGCATATTAATGGTGGAATGGGGCTGAAGGGGCTTTTGGTTTTTAATTGGTTAAATTGTGAAGTGTTGTTTAGAGGAAATTTTCCATCCTCCAAAAAAAATCTAAATACATCCATGTTAAACACAATCTAAAGCCTACTGACATACTGTTACCAATTATTTATGAAATTATGTACGTATTTTATGATTGGAGTAATCACTCGAAACCATTATATACACTAACATAGTAATTTTCTTCACTTTTATCGCACATGATTACGCATATAAAGAAGCCATTGTTTTTCCAATTCAATTAGTGAAACCACGATGGCGTACGTCCACCGTCGAATTTCATCAGCGAACTGGGGTGCGGCCGGTTGCCTCAGATCGTGTAGGGGGGGATACTTTCTTGCAGTCTTAGATGGAAACGGAACCGACCAAAAGCTCCGCAAACAACGAGGGTCAACGGTGAGCGACCGTCCGCCGGGGGCCTGAGCATCGACAACATGCTCAACACACCGCGGTCCCTGTAATCGGTCCGTCTCACGGGATGGACTGGCACGAACTAAAGTCACCGGTAGTCGAAACGAATAAGTGACCGTGCGTTTAGGGGCGTCATTTCAATATTTTTTCCGAGTGTACGAACTTTTAGGCAATTTTTTGTTTATTGTTTATAATTTATTGTTTTGACATTTCACCAGGCCATAAAAAATATATATATATATATATAAATGTAGGTAACCTAAACAAACCTATGTAAATATTTTTTCCTTCCCTTTTATAATTCTAATTGAAATTACTTATTACGACTAATGTAACTTTTAAATAGCTAGCAATTCATAGAATTAAAAGCTCATAAGCGATTAAAGTGAAGAAAATAGCTAAATCCATTTCACTATTATTTGAAAAAAAGGCAAACGGTATGACGAAAAACACTTTAATTCCTAAATCAACCATCGTTAATACAAAACATCAAATTATTAATTATTAATTATTTTAAATTAGCAAATATCTACGGGTCTTACCAGGACCGACTTTAGATACGATCGACGCGTGCGACGGCACAGGGTGCCAAAATCCGAATGACCCGTGAGAGGTGTCAAAATTAGAATTAAATTTTATCAATCGTTGGCAACGCAAATTATCTATTATAGATAGAAGAAAAAAAATTTCACGATAAATTTGATTATTATTATAATTATCATTATTTATTATTCTATCGACACGTAAGGATTGGCCGCGCTTGTAAGTACAATTACAGTTTTAAAAACTATCACTATATTATTATAAGTATTATTGTTTGTTCTATGAATGATTTACAAGTATGAGACGGATATACACGTTTGAAAAAAATTATTTTGAGCATTTTTAATTATGAATGTGACTTAGATTATAATACGTATATGTATAATGAAGTCCCTACAGCTCCCAAAATTCTGTCTGTTTAAGTTATATGTTTAAGTCGTTTAAGATGGAGAATTGCCAAAATAATTCTTGCACTGATCGCCAAAAGAGCTAAAGCCGGCCATGGGTCTTACTCAGGCGTGGATCCAGGAATATTTTTTTGGGCGGGCCCATAAACTTAACCACAAAAGAAAATACAGTAAAATTATGATTTTAATTAATAAAGAATAATTTTCATTTAGTTATAAATATTTCAATAAATAGTCTAGTACTAATAAAAGCTAAAAAAACAAAATATATCGAAATACAGTTACATGGAAAAATTTAACCTCCTTAACTTATCAAGTGCACTTTTTCTATCATAATGTAATGTTTAGACGTCTTAGAATGATGTCAAATTAATATAAAACAAATATAGTGGAATACAAATGTCAAATATAAACGAATAAACGAGTAGTAAGTAAAACAGTGAGACACCAACGGGCAACAACCAACTATTAACTAATAACTTTTAGTTATACATAATAACGTGCTTGTGTTAAATGATCGGCGAACCGCGAATGCAATAGTTATACCCAAAATAAACTTTGAATACAGACAATAATATAGCATTTATATTAGTTATCGGGACCAGACGACCGATTTAGAATCAATCGTTGTAGAAAACTTAAATAATATGTTCCCAAGCAAAAATTATCAAAGTAGTAGTAAAGTATCTAAATATGATCATAATACTATAACTTGTGTGTGTGTGTGTGCAGCGTGTGTTTAATACGTTTATAGTGTTAATACAAACTATTAATATGATTTTCAAGTTAAAATTCTAAAATATGAAAATGTTAAATATAAACCGTGTTTCATGTAAAGTTAATTTACCATCTCAGGTTCGTGGGGGGGGTTGACCCCCAAACCCCCCATGGATACGCCACTAAATGTTACTATAATGTAATATAACTGGTCACTTAGATTGGATGCACCGTCCTTGAATGAAATCTGTAATTTGAAGCTTAGGTGACTTATACTTATTACCAGGGCTCGAGACTTATAGCACTAATAAATCATGAAATATGCGCTATTATATGCACCGAAAAAAATGTAAAATATGCACTATAATATGCACTAAAAATATGAAAATATGCTTTAAAAATTATTTATTTAAAATTTTTATTTAGACATTTATGAATTTATAATTATTAAAATTTAAAGAAAAATTTTTATATAATTTTACAGTTATAATTTTTTACAAATAATGACTAAAAACTCTTTCCTGTTCTCAATAATTTGTATGTGTCGAATTTTGCCAATCTGTAAAATATAATTATTTCAAATCAATAAATCATTAAAAGGTAACTTATAGTTTGTACCTTCATAATTGCACTGTATTATTATGTGTTTCCGAATATTTTCAAACTTGTAATATCTGTTATTGCTTAATAATGTTTTGTGCAACAACAACATCAAGATAAAAGATACGATAAACACAATATTGACTTGCATTGGGATATTTTAGGAATATTTTTTTCAATCGACAATGAGTTTTATAACGTCCCAAAACTGTTGATCACTGATGAGTGGTCGAAATATGTATTTTTGCAGGATTGAGTTTTCAATTTTTACATTAATTAGCAATAAATAGCAAAATAGTCGAAAAAATAGCAAAACCTCTAGAATATGCAAAAATATGCACTAAAAACTTTTAGTATTGAGTTCATTTTTGTCTGAAATGGATTTATTGCTTACTCTGCTATCTTTTCATAAACTACAAAAAAATATGCAAATGCTACAAGTCTCGAGCCCTGCTTATTACACAGTTCACTCGTGAAAACAAAATTCGGAAGCGGCTTGACGATTGCGTATTTTTTCTCACGACCTTTCACGGGTGTAATTTCTACGGAAGTTCAATCACCGGTTCCAAAATAAGCTTACACGTGTCCAGGGTTTAAAGTAGCAAAGAAGGGCAGGGAGGACTCTTATCTGTATATCATTTACAGCGTTCCATATAGTCCCATACAATTACAGGGTAATTAATTATAAATAGGTGTATATATATATATATATAGTATGAAATGTTTTTAGTCAACAATTACCTCCACAATTATTCATGTGTTGTATAAATGTATAAACATGTAAATTACACACTTATTGTTTTAAATTGTAAATTTAAATTATATTTTGATAAAATAAAAATAATTAAAAAAACATACATATAAATATATAATTTATACTTAATATTAGTTAATTTTGTTTGTAGAACACTGTCTAATACCTAACCTAGTGACATAAACCGAATTGCAAAAATAATTTTTCAACTGTTTTACAGCGTATGATTATTTTTAACAAACTGTTAAGCGTTTCAATACACTTATCGGAGAAATATTCAAGGGGACGCTTTACAAGCCCTGTAGTTGGTGGGGATTGACTCCCCTTACATCTTCCCTGCTCCCCCGTTAAATCCTTTCACATGTTTAAACCCTAATTTAGTGAAATGTGTCTATATTAATATACTTGTAAATATTAAATTTATTAAATAAATTCGTTAACAAACCATTAAGTAAAAATTCAAATCAAAATTTAGTCAAGACCACTTGGAATTCATTATCATTATTTTTCTTTATTTGTTACGCGTTTCTTAGTATTATATTATGATTAACTCATGTACCCTATTAAATCGAAAAAATCTTTCGTTTTTAAAAGATTTCCGTGGGAAGGAGAGCACAAAAAATATTTTGATTACAACAACGTTCATGATATCCACAACTCTTGTAAACGATAAGAATTGAAGACATATTGTATTCATGCATGTATTAATGATACCAATTTATTTAATGATAAACTATGATAGATGAGTTGTCATACCGGCTTTTAAGGCCGTGTTCTCACCAAAAGCAACTGATGATGGCAACGCGATAGAGATTCGAGTCTAGTTGTAGTTGAGTTGCCCAGTTGTTCTCATCTAAAAAATTAATATGAAACTTCAATACAACTTCAATGCATATTCAGTTATCAAAATGTCTTCATCCGATGAGGATATGGTTGTAGCATTTATGTATTTGAGGTATAAAAAACAAAAAAAAAAAAAAATTGGGTTCATCCATATTATTCACTCAACATCAACCACAGTTTATTTATATTAACAAGAGAATTAGACCAAGACCCAGCTAAATTTCATGGTTTTTATAGAATGAGTATTGAAAGTTTTCAAGAACTAGTAGAACTAATGAAGACTTCAATTCAAAAAAAAGATACCAACTATAGAAAAGCAGTGTCTGTTGAGGAAAGACTTCTAATTACAATAAGGTAATAATTAAATTAAATACAACTAAACTTTATTATATTTTTTATTTTTAGAATAATCAACAAAAATAAAATGACAATCTTTTATTAAATTAAAAAAAAAAATAGAAATATTAGAATGTAAATTAGTGTGAAAACTCTCACAAAACATAACATATTTTTTACAAATTAGGAAAAAAAATATTTTTATTATATATTAAAAAATATTAAAACCACTCTGAGCTGGATCAAATTGTTGATATTGATTACCTGTATTATCAGTTCTTGCCTCTGGTACTGTTGATAATGTAGAATAACTAGACGAACTTGAATGACTAGTTCTTGCCTCTGGTACTGTCAATAATGTAGAATAACTAGAGGAACATAAATTACTAGATGAATTTAATGAACCTTGATCCTCTAAAACACAACCGATAACATCCAAAACTTTCCTTTTGAATTGTCTTTTTTGTATGGGGTTCATTTGTTGTATATCCGGTTGTAAGCTCAACAAAAATTTTTGATCTGCATATTCTGGTGAGGTTGACATTTTTTTCTTTTTTGTTTCAAAGTATTCCATGAAACAATTATCAACATCACTTATTTTACTATTTACTTTAATACTTTTTGCGCTATGTTCTATTTTATCGTGATCGTCTGCTATATCTCGATGACTGCTCAATAATTCAGATGATCCTGGTACTTGAACAGATTCTATTATTTCACCATTTGATTCCTCTTCAATATCTTCCATGTTAGTGTCCTTTTCCAATTCCGATGATATTGATATATTTCCTTGTTGTTTCTTGCCACTTTTAACAAATGGAATTATAAATTGCATGGCATCTTCTAAATAATATTTTTTTTTAAGACCACCCGATGATCCACTTGGTACTTTTTGTCGTAAATGATGTAGAAATACTGTTCTTATGTTTTTCCATCGTTCTTTACATGTTTGAACTAAAATCATTTAAAAAATAAATTGATAAGACCTTTACAATTTAAATACTTATACAATACATTAGGTCCATGAAGTTGGACGTACAATATGAATATTTGTGCTCCAAATTTTGTTACAATATTCTTAATTCATATTACAACTATTTATCATATTACTTTTTTATTTATTTTAGATTTTTTATTTAAATTACATTTTTAAAAAAAAATTGTTTATCAACAATATATTAAACTTTTTTTAGGTTTATGGCAACAGGCGAAAGTTATAGAGCTATGACATATCATTTTATGAGAGGACTTACAACAATGTGAATATTTTATGACACCCGCCGGTTCTATTCCATATCAATGGAATACTATAATTTAATTTAACTTAATTTAATATATATATGTCTTATTTGTTATATGATTATTATTACTTTTAATTTTACTTATTTAATAAATAATATGATAAATCTATTTAATATTGTATCTGTATGTACATTGTTTATACAAGATTAATTAGTAATTACGTTTTTGATTTTTTGACAACATTTTACTTACTAGAATTGTTCGTTTTTTTTGAAATGTCGTTCCATGCTTTTTCTTTTATGTCTGGTCGAGTGTAATTAGATGATGTTACATTATAAAGACATGGGTGACTTTCTATAAGTTGTACGAATGCCATATTTTCTTCTTGTTCATTTGCCATTTTAAATAAATTATTAACAAAATATGAAATTGATTATAAACCAGAGTAGGTAATAATCAAATAATTGAATTATTCACAAAATCGATAACAAAATCGAACTATTCACACTAGCAACTAGACAAAAGAGACTGACACGTCGAGTTGTTCAAAAATAGTTTTCAAATTGTTGCGTTGTTTTCCAGTCCTGTTGCGACCTGTGAGAACACGTCAATTTAATAATACATGTCGCGTTACGTCGCGGTTGCGTTGCCGTCATCAATTGCTTTTGCTGAGACACGGCCTAAGATTAAATATCAGTAACCCTTACTTCCTCTATACTATAAAATATAATGAAATCAAAGTATTTATTTATCAATTGTAAATGAATATGTAAAATACATTTTCCCTGTGTTTATATAAGTAATTAATGAACGCAATATTTAATGGATACATCACGTTATTGATACAATCAGTACCGCAATTACAAAATAGGAGGCCCGTGTGCGGTAATTATATTGAGCCACTTCCTAGGATTTATTTTTGTTCAATTTAAGTATCAATTTTTTTAGGTTTTCAAATATGTTTCACATCAGTTAGTGTACGATATATGTAGATATATCAAACTAATTACCTGTAACTGTTGACAACAGTCTGTTGTATATTATACTTCACTATATATTTATTTAAGCGGTTTAGGTAGGTATATTATATGCCTACTCAAATACTCAATGGACTCATTGTTAAATAAATATTATATTATTATAAAATATTATAACAACCTTACCTGAACTTTGAAAAAATTTCTTTTTATTATTAAATAATTGTGTGTTTGTAAAGTTCAGTTTATTTCAGGCTGGGACTAGCCCCCCCCCCAAATTTATGTAAGCCAAGGGGCTTGTGAACGGAACACTCTGCACACCCGGTTTTTGCGGCACTGGATACAATATGTTTACGTAAATAAAGTATATACATATTCACAGTATTTTTTTAGTGATCTGCTTATTATGCAATATATAAAAAAATATTTATAATTTATATTTTTTTTTTTTAACATTTTTGTTAGATATTAGTCCATTAAGTCTATAACTAAAAAAATGTATCTTCTTCTTGAACTAATGTAAAATTAATATTAAATTTAACTTAAAAAAATAGCAATACTATATAGCAACTTATAGTATTACTATTATTATATGTAAACTATTACGTATTCAACAAATTTCTGCAAGCTATAGCAGAGATCATCGTAATGATTTTACAATAAAAATAATTTTAAAAAGATTAGTTAAAATTCCAAACTAAATTCTTAGTAACATTTCACACATTGTTTATTCTTAAATAGTTTAATGTGCTAACATTGTTATCATTTGACATTTTTTGTTTTCAACATTCGCGCCCAAACTTTTTTGGATTCTGGACAGAGGAAGGATTTTATATTTTAATCAGTATAAGTGACAGCGTTGAAATTAAAAAATTATATGTAACAAAGTTACATATAAAAATAATATAAATGATACTTATATGTTATATAATGTTATATACGTTTATAATAAAAAATTCTAAAATATTAATTGGCCACGTACATAAACATACAAACAAATTCACTAGGCAAAATTATCGAAAAATACAGAAGTAAGTACGTCTAACTGAGTAAACAGACTCGTATCGAACATTATTATTTCGTGATTGACAACGTTCGCTCATTTAATCACATTGTTATATCCTTCAACTTCCTACCGTGTTCGTATAACCCGTGTTCAATAATAAACGAAAAATGGAAGAACAATGCAAACACACTTTCGTCAACAAACCCTTTTACAAGTGGTTTCATAAGTGTAACAAATGCGAGAGGAGAAAAATATGGAAACCGATCTCGAAATGCTCGTCCTGCAAGAGTTATTACCATCGCAGGTGCATACAGCTGGATGGCGACGCGTGCAACAAGAAAACGGATCACGTCGAATCGATGACACTGGTAAATATGTTGCTAACAGAAGTAGGCGCTACTAACCAGTTGATCTTTTCCCTGTCAACCCGTTTTCGGTAACTTTCTTAATGTGTAATCTCTCTGTTGGCCAGGCGTATTCCGCCCATTGCAGCCTTATTCTGACAAATAAATGTCGTATACTCTGCTTATTATACAACTGTTGTGGGTTTTTCATTTGTTATTCTCTGGAAACTTTTCAATTCATCATTATACATGCCTATAATCACATTTCAAGTATATTTCGAATCAATAATTATTTAAAGACTTCACTGCATTTAAGTATTTGTTCGTGAAAAACTCGTATATTAGGCCTTTTTGATTAAATTATGGATCAAATATGAAGGTGGGATATTGATTGGTGATGAGCAAACCAAACCCAAAACCAAGACTATGGTAGTTAGTAGTAGTTAGTATATTATTACTATTATTATTTAATCTTGGTCTTGGACAGCCATTGTACTCAATTAGCCATAGTATAAAGGGCGCCCATAGGAAAATTCTCAAGGGGGGGGGGACAACATTTTTATTTATCAATCTATTCATAAATAGGAATGACCCAAGATATAGGAAGGGGTTTATAATTTTACATTATACTATTTCATTATATAAATCAAACTGGAAGACTATAAAATAAGTAATAATTATTTAACCAATTTACAATAAAAGTAATTTATTCTAATTTTTATTTAATTAATAATATAAATTGGACACTTAGAACATTAGTTATATTTGTTAAAATATTAATTTACAAATATTATATAAATATTATTGTGGTGTACACACACACACATATACATACCGTATTTCTGGAAATACACAATATTTTAAGAATTGATAATTATCCATAGAATAGAAACGAAAAAGCGTTTAGTTATTTATAGCTGATAACCTGATTTTCCAACTAAATAAATAGATTTTTCATAAACAAATTATAGATTTTCATATATTAAATTAAATTTTTAAATTCTATTTAAAAAAATATATTCTGATCATAGTAACTAATTTTCCAACATTTTTGACATTTTCCAGGGGGTGACATGTTTCTCCCTTGCCCCCTTCCCATATGGGCGTCCTTGCATAATATCAAGACCAACTTTGCTCATCACTAACATTGACATTAACACTTAGATTTCACTCAAAATAATGTTACAGACAACATACAATCACCTATTATATTTTCTTGTATAATTCAATGTCATATTATCAAAAACACTTCACTAACAATGAGTAGAACTTACACATTTTTTTTTCTGAACTTACGCTATTTATACACTTGCAAAATACACGCTGTATAATATGATAAAATTATTGAAAATAAAGCTTAATTCAAATCAATAACAAGCTCTTTATGCATGTATAATGAAATCATTCAAAATGCGTATACCACTATATGCCTTTTATATTGGACATAAAATAGAAAAACATAAAGTACGTTTTATTTAATTCTTCAATAATATGAGTAATATTTTTGGATGTAATAAAACACCACCAACAATTTAGCTTAAAATTTACGAAGAGAAATTTTTTTGAAAAAACGCACTCACCACCAGTCAAGACCATAGATAAAATTATCTACAAGTCGAAGCGTAGGTTCGAGATTTAAGTGCGTGATCCTAAAAAATATAAGGGACCCTCCCCTCATCCTCCATAGTAAGTAGTATTACAGACGCAATATTTTATCATGTGTACACACGTAGATACGTATCGGCGCTAATGCGTCGGCACATGATTTTCGTCCGCTGTTACACGGGGATGATATTAAATATTTTCATATTCTAACCTGATCAAACGACATAGATGATCGAACTGGATGTAGAAAACGTCCAAGACTTAACTCCCGAGGACGATCGTGTCGCCGAGAACTGTCCGGAGAGAAGCGCCGATGGTTTGTGCGCCGTGGACGCCTGCGATCCCGTTACCGGAATCGCGGTGTTGAATTCCGCGGACGTAGAAGATGAACCGGTACCCAGTTTAGGTGAAAACGCTGAGGATGGAAATCCTTCTGGGATGACGGTCGACGAGAGCAGCACAGCTCCAGCAAAAGACGGGACCATAAACGAAGAATGTTTTATAAATTTCTTAGACCCCGAAGAAGGTCTCGTCGCCGAGAACTGTCCGGAGAGAAGCGCCGATAGTTCGTGCATCATGGAAGCCTACACTCCCGGTACCGGAATCACGGTGCAGAGTTCTGCGACCGTAGATGACGAACCGGTGCCTAGTCCAGATGGAAACGCTGAGGATGGGAATCCTTCTGGAACGACCGTCAACGAGAGTAGCGCAGTTGTAGCAAACCAAACCCGAACACTAGCCAATGTGATGTCATTGTCGGTTCAAGAACCGGCACGGAACGTTTTGGGTAAGGAGTAGCTTTATTTTTTCGTATTTTTCTCGTTCATTTGACGAAATCAATAAACAATAATTTTAATTATTAACAAAAAAAAATCCACGTGGTGCAACACCATGTAATAGCTGCAGATGTTTGCCCGATGTACATTGATTTTTCTCGGAGCAGTTGGCCCATTCGTACACTTCTGATATGGAAGCCGATGGCGGACTGTGACGATTCCAAGCTCGCATTACGCTTGCCACACCGCCGAACCAAAGCGGATGGATACAAAAGATGTGAAGTCACCGAGGAAATACCATTGGAGTAGTTACCGGTCTTCTTGTTATATTTTACTCGTTCTTATTTTGTTCGAAAAACGTCAATATATCTCGTAACGTCTAACATCTTAGGCGAAGACTAAATAGAATAGGTAGTTCACTTGTAAAAAAATTGTATTTCATCGTACAACGTTACATTTATAGTTAATTTATTAGAAAATAATAAAGCTTACATCTTATTTTGCTTTTCTAGAACTATAAAAAAATATTACGGTTTAAAATTATTATTATAATTCAAAACAAACAAATTGGAAATTACTGTTGTAGAGATTTTAAGTATGTGCATTGATAAGCTAGGTATTAACGGTTAATTATGAATCGATTCTCGTCATAATTATAATTCTAAATGTGTTTTAGTTCATATAGAGTATAGAACGTAAAGTACCTTCGTGGCATAGACAACTTTGCGATACTATTTGTTGAACGTGTAATGTAATTCCCTATTTTATACAATTGACTCGAAAATTACATTTGTCCTTATAAACATGGTCGTTCCAAGGATCAATTTAATTTTCAAATCAACTGTGTAGTATGGAATTGCATAATACGTTTACAAATAATATCATGAAATTGTCCATGCCACAAAGATACCTTATGTTCACCCTTTACAATTGATTCAAAATTAACCGTTGTTAACTATGCGCATACCTAAAACCTCTGACAGTTATTTCCGAATTGTTTGCCTTTTATAATAATAATTTTAAGCCCTATTCTTATTTTATAATGCTGGACAAACAATAGAACGTACGTTTGATTATTTGAAATAAAACATGATACGACGAGATGTTTTTTTTGAAAATTGAACTGTTCATTCTTATTAGTCTTTGTATGAGATGTTAGATATGATGTACGCTTGGAAATTGTAATATTTGTTTTATGCAACTATAAGAGAAAAATTAAGATAATAATTTTCTGAAATCTCATCCTAGACTAACTATGTATTAGTCACTTATAACTGGAGTTGTCGACAAAAAGTTTCAAGACCGTATAATTAATTCTAACACTAACTCATAAATCAAAATTATATAAAGAACGATAGATTAATAAAAATACTATAGATACAATGTGATCACGATTTAAGGTAACACTAAATATCTCAGGTGGATGATCTTGTATTGAAGCGAATATTTTAGAGTGCTTAGGGGGTACTTAAATACACATTTATTTATGATTTTCAAATTTTCAACACTTTTGGTGTGCGCATGCGCAACACAACTTAAATTTTTTTAATGGAAACACTACTATTTTTTTTACATATTCGAATAGATTATTTTTTTTTAAACGTTTTTTGTATAAAATTTTTTTTTCTATTTACAAAATTGACCAAGTTAGAATTAAGTCAAAATTTGAATTTATGCATAAATCGTGTTTAATGAAATTTTCATTTATAACCACTGGAAATAATAAAATAAGTGTGAAATAATTAAAAATAATTTTTAGTCTACGATATTATTTTTAATTTAATCTATTGTTTTTAATTAAATTCATAACAAAATAGTTATAATGATAATATTATAATACAAAATAAAATAGATTAAATAAATCTATCTTATGAATTGTTCAAAGTTTTTGCCATTATGCTCTAAACATGATTCAAGTCGCCTCAAAAATTCAGTTGAAATTGCCGTCTTGATTTGGTTCTCGCTTAAAATATCACATGCCACCTGTATTTTGTTTTTTAAGTCCTGAAGATTGACAGGTGAATCTGCATAAACCACAGTCTTTAAATATTCCCATAAAAAAAAATCCAGTGGCGTTAAATCAGGAGATCGTGCAGGCCAAGGAACGACACCATTGGTACCAATCCAGCGGTTCGAAAATATTTGATTTAAATATCTTCTAACAGTAATTGCATTATGAGCTAGTGCTCCGTTGTGCTGGAAAAACATTCGTTCTCGTGTGTCTAATGAAACATCATCCAAAAGTCTTGGTAGTTCGTTGGTTAAAAAATTAAGGTATCGTCTACCATTAAGCGTTCCATCATAAAAGAACGGTCCTATTAGCTTTCCACCAACTAACCCACACCGTACATTTATTCCCCAGACCGTTTGGAAATTAGTCTCACGTGACCAGTGTGGGTTTGTGTCATCCTAGTATCGATGATTTTGTTTATTCATAATGCCATTGTTTGTAAATTTTGATTCATCACTCCAAAGAACATGATTGACTATTAAAGGGTCATCAAAAAATTTAACATTGAACCAAGCTATAAACTCTAACCTACGAATTGAAACTCCTGCACACAAATGTTGGACGAAATTGATTTTATATGGGTGCATTTTGTGTTTTTTTAGAATTTTTCGAACATAACCATATGAAACGCCAATTTTGCGAGCAATATGCCAAATTAACGAACGTGGATACTTGTGTATTTTTTAGAGTTCTAAGTCCCTAAGCCTAGTTATGAATAAACAGCTCAGCTGATTTTATTGTTATTACTAAAATATTTTGGATATTATTTCTTGCAATTGACTCGTTTTCGATTCCATAACTATACAAGCGAAATAATATTTAAATATATAATGACTATAAATCTCTTGAGTATATAAGTTCCTTAATTTGTTATAATTCATAGTAACTGAGGCATGGCGTAGGTACTCGTATTTTCAATTATTTTCTGGGGGTCCATAAATTATAACATAGATATAATATATATATGCATTTTGAAAGGGAGTTCAATAAAATCAAAATTCTTACTATAATTTTTACACTACGTAACGTTTATCTATTTTATTTTTATTTTTAAATGAGGAATTGAAAGAAGTAGGTATTTACTAATATAATAATATATATAATTGTTTTTATTGTACACAATACACAATAAATAAGAGTATGATTATGACAAATGACAATATTATAAAAAAAACTACAAGCTTCTTGATTCTTGTTATTTTTGAGTTCCGAGGGATGGGGTAGTAACCCACATAAATACGCCACTACATAAATAACTAATATATATCACGCTAAATGCATATTTATTATAAATTCATTACCTAGTGGCCACACTTCCTTCAAAAAGATGTATGAAATTCAAAGAATTTTTAGAATTATTAAAATATTAAAATATAAATAACGAAAAATATAGTTTGAATACAACGGATATTGCTGATTTAATCACTTTTTAGTGATTTTTATATGCAATATGTCAAACACGAGCGTTCATAAATAAATAAACTACGGTATACTGTTCCCAAATGAGCGTTCGTTTAATCGACTACCGACTTCGAGAAGTGATCATTGCTTAAAAATTACGTACTTGAAAATTGTCAAAATTATACCATTATGATTACACATAATATAACATATTTATATATATACACATATATATACACATAATTACACATAATAATGAATTATTAAAGTATAAAATGTTAGTAAATCTAGAATAATAGATAATTAAAAAAATAATTCAATAAATATTCAGTCAAATACTTTTATAATAATAATAATATCAATTAATTACAGTTAAAAACCTTAGCATGAATATATAATAGTATGTATATTAATATAATGATGTTAAAATATTCATGGAGCAAATGAAAAATACTAAAGTTATGGCGTTCAAAATCAACGTAGCTGATGAAGTTGACTGATAAAATGAACACGAAGAACTAGAAACAATTGGATCAAACATTTTCTCAATTTTTTCCCAGGGACAAAGGGTACAACCATATTTTTCTACAACCATTGGAATTTCGTTGACGTAAAATGTAACTTTATGATCACCATCACATTCGTAGAGTGCAGCAATTATATTGGACGCAAAAGGGTCCAAATACGACGATCTCCATTTTCTATTTTGCATCTCTTCGTAATTTGAACTTAACAGGCGTGAACTGTCATTGGCGAAGCCCAGTCCAGCAATAGTGCTCAACACGTTTGACGAATGTGCAAAATAAAATACCCCTTTCGGGCCTGGTAGTCCTTGAGATTTTTGTCTAAATAACATAAATCATTTTTACAATAAATATATATACATATAATATATATTATGTATATAAATATATTATTTTCAACATTTTATTGGGATACCTACCTGAAGTTGGTTATGAGATCTTTTATAATCGGACAGCTAATTCTTTTAATTATCGAATTACCATATCCTAGGAAATAATAATGTTGCAAATCTTCTCTATACTCTAAGACCTATTACATAATACAGTTTTTAACAATCTTATGGATTATGAATTTAATTTTATTGGACCATTTACTTTTAAATCTTCTTGTGTAAAGATGGCGCACCAAGCAGGATGTGAATTTATATTCAATGCTTTTTCGAATCTACATGCATCGTACATCGATTTTATTGTTTCTATATCATACATGTGATAAAAAAAATTAATAAAATTATAAATATAAGTGTATTTATAAATCACGTACCCATAGTGAAGATGATATTAATATGAACTAAATTTCATAACCTGGATAATTAATTCGAATAATAAAATTCAAAAAATGGTTTTGTATGGTTATTGTATTTTACTTCACTTGTATTATTATTTATGTTTATTGTTTATTGAATAATTATACTTAGATACAGTATTAAATATATTTACTTTTATACTCCGAGCGTACATCTAACACTTATATATAAATTTAAATATAAAAATAATTCCTGTGATAAAATCTATAAATTAGCACAAAATTCTATATTAAAATAGAGTATTTCAAAAGAATCAAAAATTATCACAATTGGTAGTAAATTTTTCAAATATCTAAAAGAATGAAATAACTATAAAATTGCTTTTAGTTTCTCTAAAATATCATTGAGTGTAAAAATAAATGTTTGACTCTTGTATTTTAAAATTTTTAATTTTAATACCATTATAGACAATTAATTTATTATATCGCACTTTTACATCACAATTGAATTAGATTTAATATTCAACGTCTATAAGGAGTGTACCCATGTGCGGATACAACGGGGGATATGGGGGTTGAAGTCTGACCTCCTTAGATATTAGGTAGAACCATATTGCATGTAGGTCCTTAAAATATTTAAAAAAATTAGACGTACGAAAGAATTTGTACAAATCGACATACGCAACGAATTATGGCAGTAACTCACTTTTTTAACCGGGGGGCTATATAATGAAAAAAGAGGAGGCCTTTTTTCATTTCTAAATTAGCGCCTGAGTATACCTATTACCTATATTATATTACACCATAGGAAGGTGTGTTCAAGCATCCCTCCGAAATGTTGTAAATGGGGACCTATAATTAAAGTCTAAATGTAAGGGGTCCATATTTTAATCGAGTTCGCTCAAATTAAATGTAATTTATTCGAAAATATTTGGTAAAAAATAAATTATATTTTGTAATAGAAAAATGTTCTAAAATTTCGTGCAAAAACTTAGGATAATATAACAACTACAGTTAACTACAAAAATAGAAATCATAAACAATTTAACCTATCTGAGAAAAATAAACGAGTTTCAAGAAAAACATATTAATTGACTTAAAACTCACATAACATTACTTATATAATATAATATTAAATAAAATATTAGATTTACGTTTTTTAATTATTTTTATATTATACATTTTATAATTTATTAAATACACCTACAAGTTTTGTATTAATATACAAAAATAATTGCTATATACTTTCACATAATTTTATAAATTTAATAAAATCTATGTAAATGTAGATTAGAAAAATAATGAATTTTCAAACTGTATACCGTTTTTAAAAAAATTTTCAGCGTGTTCATTTTTTTAATGTAGTATTTCGTGTATACGTAATATGTAACCTACATTAGCATTTACAATTTATGATTAATCATTAGGTTCAAATATGCATACAATGTATACGTTACACAAATCGAAAATCTATCTCGTCAACTAGATTTCGGTATTTATAATCCGTATTTGACAAAAATCTAAACAAATATTGTCACCGAATATTCAGTTTAGAAATATATAGTTTTCTCCAGTTAAATGCAATATCATTTTCATTATAATTATATGTATTTAAAAAATATACCTATTTTCAAGTTGGATTCAAATCCTAAAATCTTAGTCACCCTGGTAATTAATTGTTGCATGTGTATACTATTCTCAAATTTCTTCATTTCTTCGACTCCACTTTCTTCCAAATCATCATAATTGGATATGTTTTTATACTTTGATATCTATTAAATATTTTTATATTATAGAATTATTTATTTCTAATGAATAATTCAATTCTAAATTAGTAGTTCAGTCAATAATATAAATTATAAAGGTACATTTATTCTGAAATCATCTTCATGTCGCAATGGTATATCTGTAACATTCACATTGAATACAGATCTAAGAAAATAAAATGCACTATCCACGCATCGAGCTTTAGGTGATGATAAAACCTGAAAAGTATTAATAACTTTTAATTTAGTTTGTAGAATCATAATATAAGTTTTATTATATTACTTTATATGTCATAGGGTTAAACGTATCGTTGAATGTATACAGTATATCTCTATATACATTTTTAAGTCTTATTCCCAAAGACGATAAATCACGAACACCTTGGCTATTAAGCATACAGCTATCATTTTTATTTAAATTATAAGCCCATTTTTTTATCTCTTCGATGTCTTCCTGGCATAAATTTGAATTTTCGATTGAAATTTTTTTTGCTAACTCGGTTAGTTTTGAAATGTTTTCAATTTGATGTTCTTCAGGATTTCGTGTACCATGCCTTGATAGCATCCATAATTGTAATGTCCTGCAATCTAATACAAAATGCATAAGAATCAGTCCCTATTTTTCATAAAAGTTCGTACTACACATTTTTTAATATACAATGATATGATACAAAGCATTCTATCTCCTTCAATATGATTATAATTTTTAGTACGTCAGTAATAATTTTTAGTAATAGTTCTTTTTTTTTTAAATTGAATTGCACATTATAATTAGTTAAACTAAAAACAAATCTGATATTATTTTTTAAACTGAAAATATACTTTTGTCTGGTATAAATCTGAAAACTGTTTACAAATTATTTATTTTAATGTGAGATATATAACTTAAAATATAATAGATGTATTTAAGTTCTCATCAGCTATATGCTTAAACTGACTTCCCAAAAAACACCTTCATAGTAGTCTTATTTATTAATATTTAGTAGGTACAAACTTCTCGAATCCCGTATTGCACATTTGCAGTTTCGGACTACACACTTTGTGTCGGGGTTCACTAAAAAATTGGGACTGATAAGAATTTAGAATATAATATTACTTAATAATTAATGGTATAACTAAGAATGACGTTAAAATGTTAAAATCTGTTCAACTTTCACAGCCTTTTTCATAATATTATTAAAACAGAAATGTTTTTTATTCGGAAATTGTGAATTTTATCTGAATGATCGTTTTTTGTGTACTAAATCCGCCATTAGAATAATTTATACATCAATAAAATAATTTCAACTGAGTATTGAAAAAGTGAGTATTGATTAACCATTTTTTCTTATCTATGTTGAGTCATACATTACTCAATTAGAAGAAATAATATTTTGCATTAATATTTTTGTCTTTTGTTAACCTATCGAGTTGTACATCTATTGTACGGGCCTATATCGACTCCGCTGAAAAGGTCTTTATACCTGTAAAAAACCTATCGCTGACTTTTGATTGCACTGAATATTTATATTTCGATTCCGCCGAAAATATATATACATATAACATCACTATATACACATTACATTACATATACTGTATATAATTTAAATACATACCATATCTAGCACGAAGTTAAGTAAGAAAAAAATCATAACATTTTATAGAATAAACAAATAATAATATAAATAATAATCACTAATTATGAATCAGCAACAATTGTAGTTGGATTGAAATATAAATGTTGAGTTGAGCATGTTTTAATAATACAGTGAAACCTCCCTTAACGGACACCTCTAAATAGCGGACACCTCCTAATAGCGGACGTTTTTATGGGAACGGGGACATTTTCACTACTTACGTATAGGAAAACCCCTAAGTACCGGACACTCTAAATAACTTTTATGGCAATTTAATTTTGATTTTAACAATTGTTATCGTAAATATAGAATAATCGTTGAATGCTATGTATTATAAATTATTATACAATTATAGTTTATCTTATTTTTCCATTGATTCATAGCGTCGATGAAACATTTTTCTAGATTATGTTCTGTGAAATTATCGTACTTGTATTTAGTTATGATTGTGTGATTCCATCGTAATCGAACGTGCTAGCGCAACGTAACGTGTTTCGTAAACGTATTGCAATGGCTAGTAAACAAAAGACATGTTTGAAAGAAAAAATTAATATTAATGAATTTCAAGCATCTAATACAAATATAGGTGTTCGTGCGATCGCAGACAAGTTTAGTCTAATACACATACATTACAGACGAAACGTTGTATTTCTTTATACAATTAAAAATGTACTTTTTCCTAAAAATATGAAAAATATTAAAAATACCACAACTATTTTTTCAATAGACAATGTAAAATAATTTGTAATAGAAATAAATATAGTTATAAATATAAATTAGACGAAAATCAAATATTTTCTAAAGTAGATAGTTGAAAATTAATAATAATAATATACATGTTATTATAATTTGATTTCTAATAGTGTTGGTTCGAACCCTGATTTTTTAAATCGAACCGACCTTGAACCGAACTTTAAATTATTTTTTCGAATTCAAACTGAACCGAACCTTCATATTTTCTACCGAACCTATTATGATTTTAAGTCAAACTCAAACTCGAACTCAATACTTTTTATCATGTACATTGTATCTACCTACAAATTAAATCAACCATAATTATTAATTACTATTGTATTTCAAGTTTTCGTATTACTTATTCTATATTTTAACTTTTAAGTCTAAGTAATTGTATTATTTAAAATACATTTAAATTTTAGATAATTTCTTCTTCTTATTATTATTATTATTATTTTTCAAAACCAGTATTATGCTCTCTCGTGTTTTGTAGCTTATAAAATATTCATTGAGAATTGAGTATTGAGTATAATATGACAATACAATCAGCACATTTTAATAATATATAAAAAAAATAGTAATAATAACTATAATTCACAAATATAGAATGATTAGTAGAATTTAGAATATAAGACGTAAGTTGTAAACATGTTTTTATTAACAGCACAGTCGCGGTATCGGAATATTATCATGGATTTATCCAAAATAGATTTTAACCTCTATAATAAATACGATAAAAACAAAAATAGCTAATTTATGAATGTAGACAAACTCTATTGGCGATAAACAACTTATGAATGTTTTGGTCGGCAGAGGGTGGATATGTAACATGCAACTGGAAAAATAACATTATTATTATAAATAATCCATAATGTGCCCTTTACAGATTATCACTTTCTATCGCCAATAGTTTAATTATTTCTAAATAATCGTTATCAATTTTTATTTTTCAAAAATAACTATTGAAGAATTGTACAAATATTTGGTTTTCAAACTATCGTGGCCAGTAAGTCTGAACCATATTTACAAGTTCGATTTTCAAACAGTAAAAGTTGCTTGATAGTTCGGTTTGATTTTTTTCCATGCCGAGTTCGAATTTCGAACCGAACCCAACATCAAGGGTTCGGTTCGGTTCGGTTCGAGATTCGAACAGTTCGACCAATCACTAATTTCTAACATAAATATTTTTGTTATTTTTCCCTTGGTACGATTTCCCGCTTAATATGCTATTTTTAAGTGGTCCCCAAAACCCTTTTAGGTTAGTTTTACTGGATGTATAAATAAATACATGTAACTTACTTTGATTTGTGTAGTTTTGATTAGCTGACAGTGAACTATATGCGGATTTTGACGCAAACAATGAATAAGGATTTTTCGTAAGCTGATAGCATTGATTTTTTTGACATTTTGCATAATTCATTAATAAAAGCGATAGTGCAAACGCGAAAAACTTCATGTTGTACGATGGAATAATATATTTAAAACAATATTAAGTGCCAGAAATATGAAAATTTATCTTTAAAAATATTGTAAGACATAAGATTATTTAGTGTGTTAACGATGTGTTCAATCACCATTGTGATATCAGCTTAACATGAATAATGATTGATGGGTGCTTAATTACTTTAATTGAATGTACTTAGTGATGCCTCAAGAATATAATATATTATTACATCTTATCTGTTTTTTTTGTGCATAGTGTAGCAATATTTGTTTTTGATTTTTCAAGAGTTTTGAATCGAAGATTGAAAAAATTCGATTTGATATAAATTACTACTACAACTACTACTACTAGTCAAATAACCTATGGTTATTAAATAACCGCATGAAGAGAAAAAACTGCACAACCATATAAGTAAAAAAAGGCTATCTTACAAAAAAAACGTACCAACAACCGAACATCTGTACCAACATTTATCCCCAGGAACTATCTAAGGACTATCTGATTAGGGCTTGGATTTATATTTATTAAAAACCAATATATGTAAATATATATGCAATAAAAAGTCGCTTTATATGTGATAAAAAAATAAAAATATAAAATATATAAAATATTATAAAAAAAAATATTAAAAATTGCTTAATAAATAACAAAAAATTACTTCAACAGAAAAAATGGATGCGAATTTCATATTTGTAATATTCGAAGGAGTGAGCTCAGTCTGCAATATTACCCCATTTATTCCGCAATGGATGTCTAATCAATTTTAAGTAGTTTATACCAGGTTTTCTATTTTATACATTATGTAATGCATATTTTCTTTTACTCCCAATTCCGATGGTCCTTGTACTTATTCTGTGTAATTTACTGTTTCTTCTATGGGTCCTAATCTTTGACCTAAAGTTAGTTTTCTTGTTTCTTAACTTTATTTGATTTATTTATTTATCATATATTTACCAGTATTTTAACTTTCAATTAATAATTATATGCTTATATGCCTATTGCAATATAGACTTTTAAATCCGTTACAGTAACTTTTGTTTACATTTGAAATTACATATACAATATACATATACAAAAATTATATATACAATCTTTTATTATTATTATTATTATTATTATTATTATTATTATTATTATTATT